TCCATGTCCTTGGCCTCCAGCTGCTGCAGCACGAAGGGGACGCACCACTTCAACCACAACTGCTGCTCGTCCAGCTCCTCGTTCCGCAGGAACTCGCGGGGAAGCCATTCAGCTCCGATCAGGCCGATGGTCCTCGTGAGCTCGTCGAGGCGGTCCCTGCGCCCTGACGGCATCGATCGGGAGCAGGTCCTGGCCGATGACTGTCCTGGGCAGTCCTTCTTGATGAAGGGGGACTTGGTGACGATGGCGTGGTCCGCAATGACGTGGAGCTCACCCTGGACGAGCTCGATGCTGTCGTCCACGTGGCTGCGAGAACTCCTGTTGAGTACTTCCTTGAGCCTGGCCTCGCGGCGGGCTGCGGCAGCTGCCACGGCCTCTCTGGCCGCAGGGGATCCTGTCGCGGTCCGCGCGTCTGGGCTGGCGTCGGGTCCCGCTGGGCGGCGCGCCTTGCACACTGGCTTGCCTGCAGACCCCTGCGCGGGACGCTTGGTCGCATTCCCGCGCGTGTCAGCCGTGGTGCTGACTGGCGCCTCCGCCTCCGCGGGCGGCTGGTCTGTCTGGGCTTCTCCGTGCTGGGGGCCGTGTTCTTGCGCCTCAAGCTGGTGTGCAAGTTCGAAGGCTGCCGGATGCGCCCTGTCGGTGTGACCCGCTGGCCCCACGGCGGTCTGCATGAGCTGCATGTCGTCTTCCTCCTCGGGTCGGCTGCGCCAGCCTGCTATAATCCTTCGCCTGGCCTGCACGTTGGCGCTTCGGCGTCGGTGTTCTGCTCCTGGTACTGCTTCGGCTTGGGGCTGGTCGCCACGTTGTGCACTGCGTGTCGGCAGGTCCGTCGCTGCTGCTTCCTCGGCGGTCCCTGCCTGGCTGGCTGGGCGCTGCTGAGCACCTTCGGCGGGATCCTGCCCAGCCTGTGGTTGCAGTTGTGGATGGGCCTGGCCGACTCCGCCGTGAGAGGGTGCCGCATCAGGATGGTGGTAGTTGTCGTCGTCGCTGTCTGGTTCGGGCGCCTGGTCCCAATTAGGCCATGGTTGCCTCCAGCCTTCCGTGACGAGCCAGTTGGGGATGTAAGTTGGTCTCGGCAGCGCGGGTGCTGGTACTGTGGGTGGTCCATACCAGACGCCTGCGGCAGTGCCGTGGGGCGGAGCCCACTCTGGTGGCTGGCCTCCAAGGATGGTGAGCTCGCCGTTGAGCGTGTCCGTAATCATTCGGTGGACCTCGTCAAGGTTGGCCCAGTGCATCGCGACCACGTGCAGCCATTCGCTAACCCGAAGGGACTGGATGTGGTCCGTCAGCCGCTGGCGCGTTGTCTGCGTGTCGATCCACGCGAGGTTGATGATGCCACGTACGTAGTTGGTGGTGCCTTCGATGCCTGCGATGAACTCCACTTCGTCGCGCAGGCGCCTGTGAATAGGGTTGCTGAGCAGCGCCGTGACGTACTGGTTGCCCCATGCCGTCCATGATGTTTGCCCCGCTTCTGGCGCAGTGAGGTCGTGTACCCACGTGGCCGCGTAGTCTCGCAGCTGTCGGCAGAGGGCGTTCCGGCTGAGGGAGTTGTGGGTTGGCCTGGTCTCTTGCGCCCCGTCGTCACTGCCCGTGGATTCGTTGCAGGTTGATCGCGCCCGCCTCCGTCCTGAGCGCGGGGACCTGGATCTCGGTGCGTCTGGCTCGACTGGCGCTGCTGGCTCAGCCTGCGCTGGGGCCTGGGGCGGCCCCTCTACACGAGTCGTTTCATCTAGCGCAACCGTTGCGTCCTCTGCTGCTGCAGCCTGCGCTGGGGCTTGGAGCTGCTCCGCTGCTGGAGCCGCTACGTCATGCGCATCTGCGGGGTCTGCTGCTACCGGGTGCTGAGGTCCTTGGATGACCGTCACGTGCTGCTGCTCGTCCAGTCCCCTTGCCGCTGCCACTGGGGTGCCTCCTGCTGTCCCGCTGGAGTCGTTGTCGGCGTATGAGTCGTTGCCTGGGTCGTGCTCCTGTGGCTCGGCGCTGGCGTTGGACCCATTCTGGTCTGCGGAGATGTAGTCCGCTGAGGTGTTGAGGTGCCCTGCGCGGAACGCCTCATGGTGGTGTGTCTGCTGCCTGGGGATGAGGAAAGCCCTTGCCGCGGCCCGGTAGGCAGTGAGGCGCTGGATCGCTATGGTTAAGTCGTCGCCATCCTGGGCGTGCGCGTGGGCCAGCCGCCGTTCCCGCAGGATGTGCCCACCGACCCATCCACGGTCGCGTATCTGTTGGGCACGGCGTTGGAGTTCGGTATCATAGTTGGCGTCGCTGACGTACCTGAAAAACCCATCGAAGTCCTCGCGCCGCAACTCCCGCTTGATGTAGTCCACGCATAGGTCGTTCCAGCTGACTCTGCCCGCGTGGCTGTCGACCAGATCGGTGATCCACCAGCTTGAAAGTTGCTCCAGCGTACGGTTGATGTTTCCGTTTTTTAGGGGGGGGGGAGGGAGGGACCTCTAGAGGCTTCGGGGGACGTCGAGGCCTCGGGGAACCTCCCCGGGCTTCCGCCCGATTGCGAGCTCCGTGGGGGGAAGCATCGGGACCAAGTCGCCCATGCATCGCCCATCGGAGCTTCTGTGCCCCCCCCCCGCCCAGGAGCACGCCGCCTCGCCACGGGGCGCCCACCGCCGAATCTGCTGGCAGCCCACCGCCGATACTCTGTGTCGGTGCTTCTTCCCCCGAGCGAGCTACCTCTCTTCGAGCAGTGGCGAAGCGCCCTGGCTTGCCACTGGGCCCACCGAAGCAGGTTCTGAGAGCCTTTTGTGGTCTGCGCTACAAAAGTCACTAGCCCAAAACATACCCGGACCCGGGGTCAGCTGGGGTGAAAAGGGCCGCCCGCTAGAGCGTTTTCGGCCTTGCCGCCACCTCGTCTGGGTACGGGTCGGTGCCCGAAACAACCATACATACCCGGACCTAGCTGGGGTGGTGGTTGGGTCACCCCGTCTAGGTACGGGTATGTATTGTGGTTTCGGGAGCCGACCCGGACCCAGGGGGGGTGATGCCCCGAGGGCCCCTTGCCACCCCGTCTGGGTAAGGGTACGGGTATCTTTCGCGCTCGAGAAAAAGGTCCTCAGAACGTTCCTGGCCGAGACGGTCCTGATCGAACGCGTCGGCTTGATGTGAGGATAGATGAGGACATCTGTCCTGCCATTCGAGCACTTTTTTTGCTCTGGGCACACGCCGTGGTAGGCCTCTGGAGGGATGCCGGGACGGTCGGCCCCCGCCTAAAACTTCTGCGGGGGTGTTCGCGGTGCGGTCCGTTCGGCCGCGCCGCGATCGGCTGCGTCCGGTCGACGCGAGTCCGTCGGCGGTCGTCGCGCCGCGGCGGTCGCGCCGCCGCGCCCGTTTGGAGGCTGCCTGCGGCCTGCCTGCTGCGGTCGCTCTCGGATCCGCTGCCGGCTCTGTCTGCTCTGGGCCTCGCGGTCGCTGGGGGCGGCAGGGGGAGGAGGGAGGAGGGAGGAGGGAGGAGGGAGGAGGGAAGAGGGAGGGGAGGAGAGGAGGAGGGAGGAGGAGGAAGGGAGGAGGGAGGAGGGAGGAGGGAGGGAGGGAGGAAGAGGGAGGAGGGAGGAGGGAGAGGGAGGAGGAGGAGGGAGAGGAGGAGGAGGAGGAGGAGGAGGAGGAGGAGGAGGAGGCCGGTCGTTTCGAAGAGGGGTATTAGCTGATTCGGCAGGGGCGAGATAGGTCCTGAGGGAAACGGGTCCCGAGGTTTTTTCGCCGTATTCGGCCTCTCGGGGCCCTCCACGGGCCCCAGGATTGTCAGGCTACGATTCAGGATGAAGAACTCATCCTGGTGGAAGGCACCGGGGTCCAGGACCCGCTTCTCTCAGGACACGTTCCCCCCTATGTTGATGGACATCCGAGCTCATCTATGTCATCCGCCTTCCTACCCAGACCCCCGACGTCATGTTTTTTTTCATAACGTCGACCCCCAGAGGTCTCTATCTAATCCCAGGGACCGGTTTTCCATCCCGAGTGGTGTTCTGACGGTCCCATCAAGGCCCCCAGAGGCCGAAAATAGCGGAACAATTACCGCCGTGATTTGTTCTTGACTCGAGGGGGTTTGGGTACTGGATGTTTTCACTTGCACTTCCTGCCAGGCAGCTGTGCGCTGCGTGGTGTGCGCGGGGGGATGCCATCGACGGGGGTCAGCCCCGCCTCGTCGTTGCGCGCCGCGCCAAGCTGGCGCACCGCGCTGAGGGTTGCGGCGCATTCGGCGCTCGATGTCTGTCTGCGTTGGGGTCGAGTTTGGTTTGTCGGTGGGGGAGGAGAAGGAGGAGCAGGAGGAGGAGGAGGAGGAAGAGGAGGATGAGGAGGATGAGAAGGAAGATCAGAGGAGGAAAAGGTACCACTAGCGCTACTCTGCCCTCGATTTCCCTCTTTGGGGCCTCCTTGGAGGCACTCGTCACCACCGTTGGATTCACCTCGAAATCTTCGTCAGAACGTCAGAACTCACCTTGGGAGAGGTCCGGGGAGTAGCGGTATCGGTACCTTTTGGTTTCCCCAGAGGAGGAGAAGGAGGAGGCGGAGGGGAAGAAGGAGGAGGAGGCGTCTTCGAGGGGCCTAAGACCTGGAGCAAAACGCGACTCAACAACCTCTGCACCCCCGTCGCTTGCTGTGGAAAGCCGACCCTAACCCCCTCCGATGTCGTGATCTTCCAAAGCGGAGGCCTCTTGAGCCCTGACCAGGATTTCGACATGAATCCAGCCGTGGCGACAAGAAGCCTCCCGCAGGCCAGAGGGACAGAGGGAGGGAAGGAGGGAGGAGGAGGGAGGGATGGGGAGGGAGGGAAGGGACAGGAGGGGAGGGAGGGGGCAGGGGGAGGGGAGGAGGGAGGATGAGGGGAGGGGAGGCATGGACAGGCACTTGGATGGCGCGCTCGAGCGCCGATCTCGATGCTCTGGGCTTTTCTTGGCCAGGCTCCTGGGGGCTGGCGTCGGGCGGGTCCGCGTGGCCTGACGCTCCTCCCTGGGAGGCGACGGCAGCCCGGGCCGCGTTGGGGCGCACGTGCCGCCGCCCCAGCGCCGAAGATCGTCGTCGTCGTCGCCGTCGCCGTCGTCGTCGTCGTCGTCGTCGTCGTCGTCGTCGTCGCCGCCGCCGTCGTCGTCGTCTTAGTCGTCGTTGTCGTCGTCGTCTTAATCGGCGTGGTCGTCGTGGTGGTGGTCGTCGTCGTCGTCGTCTTAGACGTCGTGGTCGTCGTCGTCGTCTTCGTCGTCGTCGTCGTCGGGGTGGGGGTGATGAGGGGGAGATGAGGAGACCAGAAGGAGGAGGAGTAGGAGGAGAATAGTGAGGAAGTGGAGACGGATGTGATTCAGGAGGTAGGCTTCCCTCTCCTCCTCCTCCTCCTCCTCCTCCTCCTCCTCCTCCTCCTCCTCCTCCTCCTCCTCCTCCTCCTCCTCCTCCTCCTCCCCTGTCCTCCGCTCCGCCTGGAAGAGCCTTGGAGAGTGGGATCTGCACGCTTCAGTTGTTTTTCTGTTGCTGTCTTGGGATCCGGAGAGGGAGGCCCCGCCCCCGACGTCAACAGAGGTGGTGGGGCTGCGCGCCTCGGGGCCATCCGGCGGCATCCTTGGGCGCCTGCGCTGCGCCGTGCGCCCCTCGCTCTGGGCCCCCCTTTTCGCGTTCGGACCGCCTCCCGGCCCCGGCTCGTCGGCGGCGGGCGAGAGGGGGGGGGGGGGCTGTGAGGGGGGGGCGGGCCTCCTCAGCAGGCTGGGGAGTCGCCCGGCCTGCTCGGAAGTTGCCGGGAGTCCTGCCCCGAAGGCGCAGGCGGAAGCACGCCTCAGGAGGCCGGAGGGCTTCGGAGAAGCCTCGCCGCCTTCTGGGAGGGCAGTCTCTCTCTCTCTCTCTCTCTTTTTCTCTCTCTCTCTCTCTCTCACTCCCGCCCCTCGTTCGCCGCCGAGTTCGCCTTTCCCCGCGTCCCTCCCTCTCCGCTCTCTGTGCCCCAACACTCCACTCCCGGCGCGTCCCGCCCGAAGCCCGACCGATGCCTGCACCGGCTTCGACCTGCTTGCGCCCGCTGGCCGGGAGCAAGCTTCGTCAGGAGGGGAAAGAGCACAGACACCAGTGATCGTCGACCCCCAGGAAAAGAGGGGAGACGATGGTAAGTGGGGGGAAGGCGAGCACCCCCAAACTGTTGGGAAATACGGGGAATAACCCCAGGAAGCATCTAAGAACCCCCCCCTCCTCCGGCAAGTCGAGAACCCTTCCGCACCCTGGAAGCGTTACCTGGCACCAGGAGCCTTCCTCCTGTGTCCGTGTGCTAAAGCTATCGTTCGGTTATTTCGGCCCCTCGGAATATCGAATAAAAATGCGGTGCTACGATATCGACGGGGGGGGTCTTAAATGCTTCCTGGAGTTATTGGGATTTGTGTGCATTTGTTTGTGTGTCTTTGGGCCCCTTTTATTATGTGTGTCTTCCAGATGTTTTCCAAAGTAGATTACGCCAGCAGCCGGCTGTCCTCGGGGGGGGGCGACGAACTCCTCCGTGGCCCGTGGCGCACCTCGCGACCACAGGGCCCAGCACAGGCCAGGCAGGGCTGCTGAACTACAAATTCCCCACGCAGGGGCTGCGACGGGGGAGAGCAGCATCATCGACTTCCCTGTCCTCCTCCCTCCTCGCCCCTGCACCCCTCCCTCCTCTCAAATTATACTTCTCCTGCTCCCTCCCCGCCGCGTTCGCTCCCGCCCGACATCGGGGATCGAGGATCGAGGATGAGGAGGAGGAGGCAGGAGGAGGAGGAGGAGGAGGCAGGAGAGGAGGAGGAGGAGGAGGAGGAGGAGGAGGAGGAGGGAGGAGGAGGAGGAGGAGGCGGAGGAGGAGGAGGAGGCAGGAGGGGGAGGCAGGAGGGGAGGAGGGGGAGGAGGAGGAGGAGGAGGAGGAGGAGGAGGAGGAATGACAGGAGGAGGATGAGGAGGAGGAGGAGGATGAAGGTTATTTGGGCGTTGTACGCCCTCCTTGGACCCCTGGGAGGCCTTTGTCGCCACGGCCTCCCGCCTTCCCGCCCTGCGATGCGGAGCGACGCGCTTCCCGTCTGCAGGGCAGCGCCTGTCGCCGGGGCCGCCGCTGCGACGCGCTGGGCAGAAGACCCCGACCGTATTTTGTGAGGGGCCAAGAGGAGGCAGGAGGGGAGGAGGAGGAGGGCAGGAGGGGAGGAGGAGGAGGAGGAGGAGGAGGAGGAGGAGGAGGAGGAGGAGGAGGAGAAGGAAGGAGGCAGGGAGGAGAAGGAGGAGGAGGAGGAGGAGCAGGAGAGGAGGAGGAGGAGGCGGAAGGAGGAGGGGGAGGGGAGGAGGAGGGGAGGAGGAGGAGGAGGAGGAGGCGGAGGAGGAGGGGCGAGGAGGAGAGGAGGAGTGAGGAGGAAGGAGGAGATGGAGGAGGAGGGGAGGAGGCAGGTGAGGAGGAGGAGGAGGAGGGAGGAGGAGGGGAGGAGGAGGAGGTGGAGGGGAGGAGGAGGGGAGGAGGAGGAGGAGCGAGAGGAGGGAGGAGGGGAGGAGGCGGAGGAGGAGGAGGGAGGAGGGAGGAGGGGGGAGGAGGAGGAGGAGGAGGAAGTGCCAGGAGGCAGGAGGCAGGAGGGGGAGGAGGACCCTGAGGCACCAGGCGTCGCAGAGCCACTCTGGGCGGCCGGGTCCGGGCAAGGCTGCGGCCTCCGGGCTCCAGGGGCCGCTTCCCGGCTCCGTTTTCTTCTGCCAGGAGAGACTCCGGTTGTGGCCGGCCCATTGGGGGGCTGCAGAGGTCCCCGGGGACCCGCGTCGCGAACCAGCTGCGGCAACGGGGGACCCAGCACTCCGACGTCGCATTTTTTTCGCCACGTCGATCCCCCGAGGTATGGAACCCTTCCCCCTGGGGTCGGTTTTTCATCCGGGGCCGTGTTCTGACGGTCCCGGGGCCCAGTGAGAGCCCCCGCGGAGGCCGAAAACCGCCGAACCTTTCCCGTCGTAGGTGAGGGGAGGGGGGAGGAAGAGGAGGAGGGAACAAAAACACACAGACACAATTACTGTTCGATTCCCCAGAAAATATGGGAAACTGTGGGAAGTGGGGGGGAAGACAAGAACCCCCCAAAAATGTGAAAATATTGGGAATATTTTTGTTTGTGTGTATTTATCTGTGTGTCCTGGGGCCCCTTCAGAAGAGGAGGCAGGGACCAGTTCCGTGCTCAGACCAGTCTCGGCCGGGTGTCTTGCATCGAGGGAGTTGCCACCAGTCGACGTCGGAGGCCCAGCCCCCGCCCTCGAGAGTTCAGAACTCTCGCCCCGTGATTGCTCAGGCCGTCTCTTGACTCGGCGGTGGTGCACTTTGTTCAGGAGGGAAAAACACACACAGACACAATTAATCGTCGATCCCCCGGAAAATGTGGGAATATATGGGAAGTGGGGGGGAAAACAGAAACCCAGAACAAATGGGAAAATATGGGGGATCCTTTTATTTGTGTGTATCTATTTCTGTGTCCTGGGGCCCCTTCACTTGTGCTTTTATTTTCCCGTGCCTTGATTTTCTTCCTGGCTCAGGAGACGAGGGTCCATGCGAACGGGGGCCAGTCAGAGCGCCAGATCTTCCAGTATCCTGCAGAGCCTGGGGTGCACTGCTTTGGGAGCCCCCGAAAGTTGTCCTCCCCTTGTCCTCGGGGAGGCCATCCGCATCCGACGACGCGATTTGTTCCATGTGCGGCCCCAGAGGCCCCGACCCCCTCCCCAGGGGTAAACGTTCGTCCCCGATGTATGGCTGATGGCCCGGGGGCCCGACAACGGGCCCAGGAGGCCGAAGTCGAGGGAGTAACGCCGAGATGGAGGTGGCAACGCGGCGCGTCGCTCCAAAAGGTTCGTCCCCGATGTATGGCTGATGGCCCAGGGGCCCGACAACGGGCCCAGGAGGCCGAAGTCGAGGGAGAAACGCCGAGATGGAGGTGGCAACGCGGCGCGTCGCTCCAACCAACCGCTCCCCGCAGGGCGGCTGCCGAACCGCGCCTGCACACGTCCGACTGCGCGTGAGGTGGCCCTTCCCCCGGAGTGACCTTCGCTGTGGGCTCACATGGGTCCTCCCGGCATCGGCCAACACGCTTGGAGTCCGCCCAACCGCGGCCCCCGACAGCCGCGCACCAGACGTCCCTCCTGCCCAGGGTCACTCGTGCCTGCAGCCGACACGCGAAGTCGCGTGCCACCTGCAGGCATGCCAGATCCGTAGTTGTTCGATATCCCCCCCCCCCGCGATCATGTTTTAGTATGAAGAAGCCGCCGGCCGCACGTTCGACAGCAGCTCCCCTTGGCGCCCACGGCGCTGGGACCCCCCAGCCACCGAGCACCACTGGTCCGCCCGCCGCCGCCGCGCACCGCCTCTCGGTGCCCCCCCTGCCGCCTCCCCCGCTCGCTCGCTCGCTCCTCCCGCGGCGTGTCTCGCGCGGGGTCTCGGCAAGCGGGCGGCTGCCGCGTGGCGGCGCGGCGCGGCAACGGGTGATGGGGAGGAGGGAGGCGGGGAGGAACGGGTCGGGGGATGGGATCGGAGGAGGAGGAGGAGGAGGAGGAGGAGGAGGAGGAGGAGGAGGGCGAGGAGGAGGAGGAGGAGGATCTGTTGATGCGTTTCTGAAGAGGAGGCTGCGGATGCTGGTGGTGATGCTGATCTCGCCGCTGCTGCTGTTGTTGATGAGGATGGGGAACATGAAGAGGAGGTGGAGGACGAGGAAGCTCATGAGGAGGACAAGATGGGTAAGGAGGAAGAGAAGGGGGAAGAGCAAGACAAGAAGGAATACAAGAACGATGGAGAGGAGCATGAGGTTGATGGGGAGGAGGCGAAGGAGGAAGGAGAGGAATTTGACGAACAGGAGGGTGATGAAAAGGGAGAGGTGGACGATGAAGATGACTGATGGGTATGATGAATGAGGAGAGCAAGAAGAGGTAACAATGTCGCATGTGATGATCCTAGTGTTGATTGCTTGGTTGTTACATTGGCCGCTGAGTGTGTTTTGGTTGATTGAATGCATGCATGTGATGGTGATTATAGCGAGAATAGCGAGCGTGATGTTAA